TTACTCTCTGTTTATACTTTTGTTCTTTTCAATCCAATCTCCTGAACTTACTCCTACCAGGAATTCCACTTCTAATCGATCTTATATACTACTTATATCATTTGACTTAAGTAGTATACACTACATGATACCATATATGTTCAGATTAGGTTTTGGTTTATAGATAATTTAATGTCAAGTCATATATCATTCATCAATTAACTTTAATAATGAAGTAAAAACAAACAACTATATTTTCCGGGTTAGTTGAAAAATAAAAAAGGGACAATATCTGTACTGGATAAAAGTATTCAAAGAGATTTTATTTCACACTTATATAAACTTACAGAGAAGTAATACTGAAAAACTTCTATATTTTAATAGTTGAGATCATGAGTCAATTGAAGCTAGACTATCATGGAAAACCTGGAAGCTTTAGACGGCCGTTTCATCCTAGCATGGGACTGCTCATAGACGATCCCGCCTCACGAGATTTCCAACCCCACGCGAGCGCCTAAGCTCTAGACCATTGAGCAGGCCAGTGTTAATGTCTAACTTCAAATAATCCACAAAACAACCGTCTAGTTCTTTCAGGTTATCCATGGTAGTCTAGCTTCAATGAACTCATAAATTCAACTATTAAATTATTAAATAATTAATTGAATGATTCGAAAATCAATTTCAATTACTCAAATCCACTAATCATTGATATACCTATGAATATAGTAATATACTCCAAGTTCCGATTCAGCTATGAGAATCGTAAATTTCAAAGATACTTGGTTTATATACGAGCCAAACAGACCACATAACACCATAAAATAGGCAATCCGTATAGAATATATATATATATATATATATATATATCAATAAGAGACTGATCAATTGCAGCTATTTACACTGTTGGATGTCGTCTCAATGGTCTAAAGTTTAAACGTTGATGCGCAAAACCTAAGGTCCTGTTTCCGAGTGTTGTGTGTGGGATCGCGTAAGTGTACTGCTAAAGAGTTGCATACTAGAACGAAACAACTATCCAGTTCTTCCAGGTTTTCAATGGTATTCTAACATTGATCCGTTCATGATCTCAATTAAAAGCTCAATAATCTCTACAATATTATACTGATAAAATATTGCAATGAATGACTTGTATAATAAATAAAGATAAGTAAAGATCTAGAAAAACATTTAAATGTATTCCTTTCATAATTTTATTTTAACTGTATCAAATGTATCTTTGATAGTTGAAAAGTAATGTACAAATACTTAACAATACTGAAGAAGTATGATCAGTTAGATTTGTAATTAATACAAAAGATCATTCTGACAATCTGTAGTGAAGGAGAACACAGGTGAGGACAACCGAATCGCATTCATCCCAAAATTACAGAGTTACTTGGTAAAATAGAAAAACCATATAGCAAATGGTTAATCTTCAAAATATCAATTCATCATATCAACCTGGACTGTTCCTGTTGCGAATATCAATCCACTGTCTTACATTTCATTGTTCATGCGTTTTCTTACAAACTGCATTGTGTTCCCGCTCTTTTTTTCTTGATCTGCCCCCATTTTCTGCTGCCAGACATTACGTCTTTAACTCGCGCCACATACTACTTACATCAATATAAGTAGAACACACCACAAATCTAGTAAGATTTACCTTCTTATACACATAACTTCCGAATTCAACAATACACCACTCACAATTGATTGATTACTGGGTGGTGATCCATGTCATGCGTGTCTAGTCCTTATTAGTGCAGATCGAATGCTATCGATCATGTTGCAATGTGGCCACCAGTCTAGGTGACTCGACACTGCGGGCACTATATATTGAGATTTAGATGATGGTTGGAGGTAGTCAACAGGAAACCCTGGACCCGGGTTTCCTGTTGACTACCTCCAACCATCATCTAAATCTCAATACACTACACATATTACCTAAATCATGATGAGATTGTAAATAAATAAACACAAGATCATTTATCTTTTTCTTAAAAAACAAACAAACAAGTAATTCCCAATTTTACAACTTTAGTTATACACATAGTGTATAACTAATTATAAGAACATGAAAATCCACTTTCTATTCCATTTATAAAAACAATTCTTATTTCCCTATACAAATATACATAAGCATGGATAGAGAGAGAGAGAGAGGAATTCATTTCCTTCGGATCTAATATAATATATCACTATGGTAATATTGTTAGTAGTAGTAGTAGTAGTAGTAGTAGTAGTAGTAGTAGTAGTAGTAGTAGTAGTAGTAGTAGTAGTAGTAGTAGTAGTAGTAGTAGTAGTAGTAGTAGTAGTAGTAGTAGTAGTAGTAGTAGTAGTAGTAGTAGTAGTAGTAGTAGTAGTAGTAGTAGTAGTAGTAGTAGTAGTAGTAGTAGTAGTAGTAGTAGTAGTAGTAGTAGTAGTAGTAGTAGTAGTAGTAGTAGTAGTAGTAGTAGTAGTAGTAGTAGTAGTAGTAGTAGTAGTAGTAGTAGTAGTAGTAGTAGTAGTAGTAGTAGTACAATTAATCTCCTTTGTCTTATTCTTATACAATAGAGAAAAATAATATTTAAATAAGGATATATACATCATTTTCTATTAACCAATCATATAAATCACTAAGATTAAGCAACAGAAAGGGGTTTGATTAAAACTGTGTTTTTTTTTAAAAAAAAGAATGATCAGATTGTTACAATAATTACTATTGTTCTGTTACTATAGAAACAAAGTTATTATTATTACTATTATTATGAGCCGTATCTACTTTGATCATTGTATGTTACTGTACTGTATTAAAATTACAAATAATAATTACAATTCAGGTAGATATGCAGATAGATAAATAGTTAAGAAAACAATAAAGAAAACCTATAATACACTTTACTAATTTGATGGTTAGAATCCTATTTCAACTTTTTCATTCAAATATACTACTTTATTCATTTATTTTAATTGATACACTATATTATTATTAGTTGTGAAGATAGAAGTCAAGATAAGGATTGATTTCAGCACCATAATTGTTTTGTGAATAGTTGTTCATTAACTGTTATTATTATCATTATTGTCTTAATAGTTGAATTCATGAGTTGATCTAAACTAGATCACCGTTGATTACCTGGAGGTATTGGATGGCCGTATAGGACCCCTCAGCAGAGCGCATCCAAGTTTATGAAACAAAAGGACTTGAACCCAGAATACCTGGTTTCGCTCACAGACGCTTAACCTCTAAACCAATGAATCGGTATCCAACAGTGTTTTCAGTCGTGGTCTAGCTTAAGTCGACTCATGAATTCAATCATTAGAATTACTACAATCTCCACAAAACCTCATTCTGATTAATATTGTTATGCTCACTAGTGACTGGCTTCAAGATGTATATCCTGAAGTTCTAGTGAGAAGCAGTGACCAGTGGATTTCAAATAGGTCCATTGTGCGAAAGTAACTTACTGATGACAATGGTGGACGGTGGCGTGATTTCGTGGATTGGCTGAATTTAGACATTAACGCCGTTGGATGCTGTCCGACTCAGTAGTCTAATGGTTAAGCGCTCACGCACAAAACTGATAGACCTGCGTTCGGATCACGCTAGGCTGGGTTGTGGATGCGAGCTGCTGAGGATTCCCATACTAGGACGAAACGGCCGTCAATGCTTCCTCGTTTTCCATGATGATCTAGATTCAATTGACTCATGATCTCAAATATTAATATTATTGTTATTATTAGTTAGTTTACGTCGTTTAGTTACGACATTTTATTTGAATTGTTTATAAGAAGTTAATAACCAGTAGACAGTTTAATAATAAAATGATGCATTCTACTCAGAACTATTCGACTTCATTCCCCAATTTCACTTTAGTTAATTTCGATTCAGTGAGTTGACTGGCATCATTAGACCATATACACATAAAATGTGGATAAAAGCTGAGTGCATATAACTGTACTCAACAAATGTGTCATATTAAATATTCAAACCACTTTAATTGGGTTGATATTTGAACTATGGCATTTGTTTCGTAATCTTTTACATTACTGATGGAAAAACGTTCACGTCTGTCTGGGGAGGTTTGTAGAGGTTGTTGAATTTCGTAAACGATGAAGTTCAAAATTGTCGTTTTTCGCATAATTAAAATTATTGATGATAAAGTGTCTAGAACCATGTGGTTTAAATGAACGAATTATAAGCTGCGTAAATAGATGGGTATAAAGTAGCAACCAATTTATGGTAGAAACCTTGAATTACACCAAGTAACCCAACAGACAATACTTGTAACTGAAATGTATGATCTCATATCACTGAAGCTGATTAGCTTCAAGTTATTAAGATTTTAAAAAAGCTGAGCACATTCTTAAGAAGGGATAATGAGAGATCCTTTTTTAATTACCACCGTATATATCTTGCTGATTACATTTTTTGATTTTTTTTTCTAAAGGAATCGAATTAATACACTTGTGTCAAGACCGAAGTTCAAGCATTCTTATTCTTATGCTTTGTTTATTGTAATCCATTTTGAAACTGTTTCTATAGAATTATATTCCCTTATTGTTTATCTGTTTTACATATGATCTTTCCTTGATTCTTAGAATGAATCGAAAGTCAAACTAAATAGATTGATGAAGGAATTCACTTTTGAACTGAGTTACTTTAACTTGAGTTCTGGTTAAGTTTTTTCGGAAAATACTATAAGAAATGCAGTGGTTAAAAAAGTACGAAAGTAAGAAGAGATGACTTATGTTTAACTCCTAAATTATATCTTGAACACAGTATCCATTTACAGAGAACTACAAATTCTGATTTTAAGTAGGTATAGTTTCCTATCTGTACCGGGATAGAAAATGATAGGTATATATTTATGCTACTGAAATACAAAAAAGTAGGCAAAGAAATAAATAACAAAAAGGTAAGACCATTTCAAATAACATTCAACTATAGACTGATTAACAGAATCTATGAATTATATATTCATATATTTTTTCATATAATATCTAAATATATAATTTTTCTCAAATTAAATCATGTGCAACAGGTTTCTCTAGCTCGACCCAGTTGTGAATCAATTAAAGGTGCAAATTTGTACATTTGTGGTCTACCGAAATTTATGACCGAATCTGATTTGGAAAAATTATTTCATCCATGTGGAAAAATTATCACTTCAAGAATTCTTTTCGACAATAATACTGGTAAGTATGCATATTTATTATTTCTTTTTCATTGATTAATACATTAGTTCATTTTTATTAATATTATCTAAAGTCTTACTGATTTCAACCAAGAAATAATAATCTTGAGATAGTGGAGAAGATTTGTAGCTCAGATGGATGATTTTGATAGTTTTGTTCTCTGAACTCGTCATGGAGCTTTCATCGTTCTTCTGAAGGATATCATCAGCACAAACTTTAGGTATAAGTGGAGTGTTCGAATTTATGTTCACTTCTACCTGAAGTTTGTGCTGATGATATCCTTCAGAAGAATGATGAAGATCCACAACCAAACCAACCATCATTTCACAATTCCTTTAAAACAATAAATCAAAACTCATTAACATTTATGATTTATCTTTTTTTTCTAGGTCAATCTAAAGGTGTTGGATTTATACGTTTTGATCAACGTCATGAAGCTGAATTAGCTATACAACAATTTAATGGTTATCGTGTTGGATCAATGGCAGATAGTCCGTTAATTGTGAAATTTGCTAATATTCCTACATCAAATAAAAATGGTTTAAGTAATTCTGTTAATCCTACGATTATGACAACAACATCAACACCTACACATAATAGTAATAATGGAAATATGGATTATCAAAATCAAACTATGACAACTTTATCCTCTTTAATAAATTTAAATAAATTAGCTATGAAAGCTAATGAATTACAATCAATGATTACCCCGGAAATTTTAAATAATGATTCAACTTATGATATATTTAATAATTCAACTACACCACAATTAATAACAGATTCAAGTAGTGGAAAACATACACGAAGAATAGGTGGACCTATTCATCCAACTGCTGTACACAAACTACGGCAAGTCTACTTTAATGTATTATTTTCTTGTGAATATGAATAACGGCGGATTTTTATAATCATCATTACACTGATCGATGATCGATTAGTAACCTACAATCTTTTGTTAAATTCATTTAATCTATTAAGTTATTAATTAGACTGAATGGCATTAAGTGTGTTGACATTTCTATATAGACGTGGAAATCACCAGTCATTCATTTGTGAGACCGGACTGAAAAACCATTACGCTGTCAGATGGAGATCGGACTGATCACCCACACTGTCTAAACTTCGATTACATGAGGAGAAAGGTAAACTTGAATTGGGATTGTGACTGAGACATTGGAGAAGACTTCCTTCTGATGTCTGGACAGATTAGTCTGGAGGGGTCCATGAGGTTTGGCAATGGTGGGTCAGAACGTAAGCCATAAGAGCATGAAGTGAACACATCATCTACGATGACTTACTTAAATACTGATTTGAATACTCGATGTTCATTCTGTAAAAATGCTTCTGGGATTGGAAGTCCTGGGCTTTCGCATCTATATCTATATGTATACTACGGAGTAAATGGGCCTTAGCTTATGCATTTTATAGATGCACGTATCGTATACTTACGAGTGCAAACTTCTATTCCTCCGTGTGTTTGTGAGAGGTGTGAACTTGCCTACGCTCCCTATTATTACTTGTACAGAATACTAGTAACCGCGCCCATCTATACCTATATGTATATCACTGGGATATAAGTATCTTTGACACCTACATTTAAATATATGCATATGAAGCATAATTAGGGATAACTTCCACGTTTCTTCACTGGTGAACTCATTATTAGCTCATCTGGCGGGTAACGGAAATTGAACACTTCAGTTATGAAACAGATAAATGAAATTTTATCCGGTGTATAGATTTGAATGACTAATTTGTGAATTTTGTCTGTCTAAATGTGAGCATAGACATAAACGAACCCTTTATAATTAGTTTGTTATAAGCAAATAAAAATGAGATTATTTACTGTACGGTCGGAAAAAACACCTTTATATGGACTATCTAATAGTATTGATTGAAACTTACAAAATAGAAATCTTCAGCTCTTTTCAAAATGTATTGTAGTGATTACGAATAGATGAATTCACAAAGAAAATGTTGAATAAACTTATTATTGTACTAAATCGACTGAGATGGTTGGGTCACTTGTTATGTAGGCCTGAACAGCAATTACCACGACGCGAAATTCTGACTACTGTTTGGGATGGCTGGAAGAAAGTTAAGGGCGGTCAAACCAAATAGTAGCATCTTAGCTATGATGGTAGATGTAAACTACTTGATTAGAGTCTCCGCCACTATCGTAACCAATAGTTGGAGACTCTGTGTAACATGGCCTACAATCGATCATGATGGCGTAGGGGTATACACTCTCTATCTTCATTTAAACTATGAGATTAAAATCGCTCTATATCTATCTTTCTACCAACTAGTTCTCTCTTCCTGTACTATATCCTTATATGTAATCTTTCTTTTATATATTACCACCACTGAATTAACTACTTCTATGAATCCGGTGTTCATCTTGCTGTCTGTAGCTGACTGACTGACTGACGTTATTTTTATACAAACTTACAGAACAACAAAGAATAAATGTTATTGTGAATTCCTAATAGTTCTGGTAGACTAATACTATGATTAAACAAATGATTGGATTTAGTTCCTGATGAATCTTTCAAATAGGACGAGACGCGTGTCCTAGATTCCACTGCTAGCTACTATCCATCTTTGCTTATGATCTATAAAATAGTTTCAAATGTGTTAGCCTTACTTTACACCAAATCAATTAAATCAATCTGAGTATCAAATTATTAATCAAAATTTGTTGTGGATGCGGAGGAATAGACCAATAATTATCATGTTAAGTCCAATGGTGTCCTTGGACTTTAAATGGACATTTCCTATTGGTCGATATCTGTTCACTTGTTGAATATTGTACAAAATGTTGTTTTCTATTTTATGGTACGATGTGGTATGCTTGGTTAGTATATAAATAGAGTATGTTTGAAATATAATGATTCATATCTCCGAGGCTGTGGCTTGTGTTCTGGACTCAACTGACTGGGCTAGACAGGGAAGCGAGACCAATCGAGACTCTAGGCCGTCCGTACGTGTTTACGTGTCATTGAATCGATCGATAAATACACTGCTCTCTAATTTTCCAGTCAATGACACAACAATTAGCACAGGGTAAAAATCGACCGCAACCTAAAGTCATAACAAAATTAAAGTGTAAAACTGAGCATTTTGTATTAAAATATTTTCACGGTCTATAATCATTGAGAGTCTTCGACACAATGTGGAAAACATAGAAGTCATTCTTCTCCTATCTCATCCAAGAATAACATGAAAGGTCTCATAAAGATTAAATGGATCTTAATGAGAATGTTCTATAAATATTTATTTTCATGGCCATTCTTTTCTTTAAATTCATATATTATATGTGGTATATGCTACTAATGTAGACAAACATAAGTAGTATGTAACACCAATCAGAAGTGCAAAACCTGACAATAGAAGGCTATGAAGGTGGACTTGAAAAAAAAAGAAATGGAATTAGAAAGGAATTATAAGTCAGAAGAATTATACAGAATGTAAAAGACAAATGATGGAAATTCGCAAATGAAATATTCAATGTATAGTTGTCATATTTTACCAAGAAATTTTGTGTTAAAGTACAATTGGTTGTCTCCATCTGAGTGTTTGTTCTCAACACCGTTACGTAGTACGATTATAACGAGATGTTGCCTGTTATACTGATACCTCCGCCAAATTTAAACTTCCGAGAATATTTTGCACTGCATTAGGATCAACAATTTATATGAAAGTTTGTGATCTTAGAAACACTAATCTTGTTCTCTTTTACTCTGATCACTTATATGTATAAAAGACTTGATCGATAGAATTCGATCAGCACTAAAAGACTAGATAAACACGATATTGGTTACTACTCAACGATTAATCAATTGTAAAAAAGCATACCCTGAAAACAACAAGTAACAGATGATTTGTAAAAACCAACTTTCAGGATGAATTTGATGAGTTACATAAGAAGTCTTCACTTTACTTTTCACGCTTATTGATACTAACCTGTTTAGTAGTAATACATTATCTGTTGAAAATGTAAACTATACTCAGTTAATATTGTAGTAAGAGATGCTAATTTCACTTATTGGAGACACTACTGATAAACTGTATGATCATTCAATAACCCAGTAATATAACTAGATATTAACTTTGGTACTTGTGGTTCAAAAGTTCTGATATTCTACTTCTAACCATTGTATCATGAATATGAATTTAACTCATCTGACTTTTAAGAGGGTAATTAGTACTGTAACGAACGAAAACACAGATGGCGACGACCAAACGTAATTTAACATAACCTTACAGAGTTATTTGGTAAAATGTAAAAACTATAAGTTCAATTCTTCATTTGATTTGTTTCTTCATTCCCATACCAACTATTCTCTGTTCTCGTTCTCTTCTATTCTATCTTCTCAACCTTCTGCTGCCAGGTTTCCCACTTTCGATTAGTGTTATATACCACTTATATCTGTCGACATAAGTAGCATACACCACAGTACATTTAAGCCTCAAACAACACGCATATTTTTTGCCCTACTTTACAGGTATATGTATAGTTAACAAATTGCTAATAGATGATGTAATGTAATGTCTTTTAATTTCATTACTATTGACGTTCATTATTCAAATAAATTTGTAATATTAAATTACCTTCTGAAAACTTGACTAAATCAGATCACTGATCTATTATTATTGTTATTTAAACACCTAAACATTGGCACAAGGTGACACCAAATAAACCATTCGATTTGTGTGAGGGCTGAGATACTGCCCGAGTGCCCAAACAGAAGCGAAGCTTTTGACCTGAAGGCCTAATCTACAAGGCAGTGGAACCACGTGATGAGATGCAGTCCCATGGTATATATATGCATACGCCTTTTGGTTCTCCAGGGTCTTGAAGCCCACGCACACCATTGGTTTTGAATCAGAGATTTCTAACTCCCCTAGATGGATCCTCCGTATCCACTAACCCAGTTAAAACGACGGATATTCGCTTTATGTCATCTCAATTTGGTGAACAATACTCCCGCCGCGAGAAAGCAGTGAGTAGGACTTCCTTGGCAGTGGTTGTATGCATGTGGCCATGTAAGAGCATTTTGAGATGGAAAGAGAACGGACTCTCCCCAATCTCGGCTCTTAATCAAATGATTTACTCATATCCTTATTATAAACAAAATATTGGCACTGCATCGATTAGTGAGATAGATTTTCATGTTCGTTTGTTTATTTATGTTTATTAAAACTCATATATTAACCTTTAGTTTTTTTAATAATTAAAGTAATAATACCAATTTTATTCATTACAGATTTAATCCATTAGATGGTTGTGCTATACCGGTACGTATTAATCCATTCGATAGTATAAATCATACTTCAATAAATAATTTAACTTCATCTCCAGCTTCAGCTAATGGATTACGTTTAATGGGAAAAAATGCTAATAATAATAATATTAATGCTGCAATCTCTTTAGCTGCAGCATTAGCAGCAGTTAGAACAACAACAACAGCAAATAATAATAGTAATAATCAACCAGATCCTTTGCAAACACAATTATTATCACAATTAAATGGAATTCCACAACAACTACCAGGAGTTATAGGGTAATTGACAAATTATTCATTTTTACTTTTATTTGTATCTTCCCATTATTATTTGGGAATACAATTGATCAGTCCAATGTTGGCATGTGTGCATTCTGTGCAGATTGCCTTAAGTCACAAGGTTTTTTTAAGCACAGTTGGATAGTGGCTAGCAGTGGAATCCAGTTTGATGCGCGTTATGTCTCAGAGTGAACATCTAATCTGGGATGTAAGACGAGTCCCAAATAGGACAAAACACGCGTCCTTGATTCCACTGCTAGTCACTATCCACTTTGCTTAATTAATTGCCTGTTAATAAATTGTTTTTCAATAAAGACAACAACTTGAGAAAAAAAGAGGCAGAACGATTGATGAGTGCGGCGAGACTATAATTTAAAGACGAACCGATCAGTTTTATGATAACAGGTCTTGAAATTTGGCGTGAAATTCACTCATCCGTTTGGATAAATAGAGTTTTGGCATTATAGATTATGTCAGTTCGTGATAAAAACCATAAATCTAAGTCCTAACCTTAATCATCAATTGTAAATTACAATTATAATTCCTCACACAGGTTTATGATCCTCATTTGGTTCTGCTTATTAAATGGACACTCTCAACATCAGCCTAATTTCGCTCAAATGTCATCCATAAATTCTTTCTTTCTTTCTACGAACTAATTCTTTCTTCCTATACTATATCCTTGTATGCAATCTTTCTTTTATATATTACCACCACTGAATTAACTACTTCTATGAATCCGGTATTCATCATGCTGTGCTAAAAAGGTATGGCAACTTGGACCGATGTATATATATATGCCTGGTCCTACATTGTAGCTGACTGACTGACGGGTTTACGCGTCATTGGCCCGGTTGATAAATCACTGTCTTCTAATTGGCGGTATCATTACATTATATATTAATAGGGGCACAAGACCACAAGTTATAACAGATTACTTTGAACATATATTCATTCAAAACATTATCTTGATATGATATACTAGCGTCAATGACATGTTGTCATTTGTACTGTACAACAGTAAATAAATTCTAATTATAAACTATGTTAAGTGATTAAACGAAAATTTCGTAGATCGTAGAAGTCTATCTGACAACCTGAAAAATGAACAATATAAGTCTTGATTTATGGTAGATTTGTCACCAGTTTTTGAATAACAGTTCTAAATGGTCAATTTATTTTCAGGAAGAACTTTCATTACACTACATCATAACTTATAATGAAAGCGAACCTCAAATCAAAATAAGCTATTATATTGGTTATTATTTTTATAATAATAGAGAGGTTTCGTGAATATTATAGTAATTTAATAGTTGAATTCATGAGTCAATTGAAGCTAGACCACCATAGAAAACCTAGAAGCACTGGACGGCCGTTTCGTCCTACTGTGGGACTCCTCAGCAGTGCACATCCACAACCCCGCTTCGCGAGATTCAAACCCTTCAGATATTAATCAACATATGCTTATTAGTGACTGACTTCAAGAGGCATTTCCAGGAGTTCTAGTAAGAAGCCATAACCAATGGAATTCAACCAGGTCTGTTGTGAGATAATGATGGATGTATTGTTCAATTTTGTGAATTAGTTGAAGTTATACATTAACATCGTTAGATGTTGGCTGACTCAGTGGTCGAAACTGACGGCTTTTGGTTAGAATCTCGCGAAGCTGTATCTTGGATGCGCACTGCCAAGGAAGAGTCCCATTGCTAGAACAAAACAGCCGTCCAATGCTTCCAAGTTTTCTATGATGATTTAGCTTCAATTAACTCATAATCTCAACTATTAAAATATCCACACAAAAAATACCCCTACTGATAAAAATTTTCTTTGATTTTTTTTTAATTTTTAGTTTTACATTACCATGGTTGGGAACTAATATAGAAACAAATTTAAATCAATTAACCAATAATATGTATCAAACGAATAATTCACTTGGTGATTATTTTCCACAATCGAATAATGTTTTATCAAATATTTCATTGAATACAATTCCTTTATTAACTTGTCCAGAATATTATAATACACAAATCGGATTAAATAATAATAATAATAATAATACTAGTCAAACAACTATGAATTTAAATGTAGCTAAGCAACAAAATCTTAATTTGATTAATAGCTTCCATAATCATAATAATAACCATGTTAATTCAACAAAATCATCTATTCCAATTGTAGACTCATTATTTTTTAATCCATTCACATCAAATTTAGATATTCATTCAGTTACAACTAAACTTTTACATGATATTTCAACTCATGCAGTAATTACAGGTAATGTGAATGGTACTACACCACTAACACCAACACCACCACCACCACCACCACTACCACCGACGACGACAACAACAACAATGGTAACAACGGTAACACCAACTAATGACTTATTTTCAACAAATCATTATCCTCCTAATTCTATATCATCATCATCATCATCATCATCATCAACAACAACAACAACAACAACAGCAACAATATTAAAAATTGAAGGTTTAGCACCTGGAACAGATGAATCAATTATATTAAGATTGTTTTCTGCATTTCCAAGTGTACTATCTGTACAATTATTACCTAATAAAGAGTTAAATATAAATGGTGAAAATAATAATACTTTAATTATGAATAATAATAATGATAAACAAGATATGAAAGCATTAGTAATTATGTCAGATCATGAACAAGCAAAGTTAGCAATGCATTACTTAAATGGGTAAGTGTTTCTTTTTTTTTTTTTGAAAAAATTAAAGTGAAGTACAATATTTCCCCCTGTTGGACATCTTTTTTTTTAAGTAATCAATCAATCATAATCAGTTTAGGACCTGAGAAAAAATATACAGCAATCTAAGTTCTTATACCATATCAATATAACAAAATGAATTACAGTTTAATTGTAATAATCGTTGGATTATGAGGACTTCGACATCTGATGGAAAGCATGGAATAAGATGAACAAGTTGGATACAACTAGACAATTCTGATTTTGCAAATCACTTAGCCGTCCTATCCTATACACACCAGTAAATGCAAGTCAAGACGATCAACATACAACCAGGGAAAAACCAAGATCCTTAAATACAACATGGAGAACACTAAACCAATCACACTTGATGTAGAAACTTTGAAAGAGGTGGAAACTTACACGTACCTGGAAAGCATAATCGATAAACAAGAAGGATCAGATGCAGATGTGAAGGCAAGAATTGGCAATGCAAGGACAGTATTTCTACAAATGAAGAATATATGGAATTCAAAACAACTGTCAACCAATATCAAAGTCACAATCTTCAATACGAACGTCAAGATACTTCTACTGTACGGAGTTAAAACTTGGAGAACTACTTCAATCATCATCGAAACAGTACAGGTATTTATAAACAGTTTTCTATGCAAGATACTCATTGTCCGTTGGTTGGACACTATGAGCAACAGCCTACTGTGGAAAAAAACAAAGTAGCTTTCATATGAAGAGGAAATCAGATAGAACATACATTGAGGAAATCATCAAATTACATCACGAGACAAGCGCTAACCTGGAATCCTGAATAGAAACGAAAAAGTGGAAGATCAAAGTACACATTACACCGAGAATTAGAAGCAGACATGAGTAAGATAAATAGCAACTTGAAGGAATTGCCTAAGACAGAGTTGGTTAAAGAAAACTGGTGGTCAGTCTATGCTTCTGTACGAGGGATAGCAGAAGTAACAAAATAAGTAATAATCATAGCATCAATAATAGTGCAAAAGTATAATTCCAACAAAAAAAAGAATGGGATAAAGGAATATAAATTATCATTAAAATTGAAGATTCAGTAGATGATAGAAATATGAATGTAAGTGTACCATTGAAATTGATTTTCAGGCATATCACTAAGGTTCTTCAACAATTTATTGCATATATTCTAATCATTTGATAACACAATTCAAACCAACATTCCATAACTTCATGAACTAAATGTTACATTTTATTTTGATAGTCCTTTGGTCTATTCTAAGTTATACGCATCAATGGTGATACTTTTTTACAATCTATATAAACTGCCACAATGAAATTATATAGATAAAGTCATTTGTTGTTATTCATGAGTATATTTAAGGCTTTTATATGAGGATAATATCATCACTAATCTCGTTAGGAAGTTATAATATTGGTAGCTGGTGGTCCATTTATAAAAAAATCAATGAATTCCTACTTAAGATCCAGATGTTTATGCCAGGACTCAACTCAGTGTTTTCAACGCAATGTAGTTGATAGTAATCTTTTAGGAGAATATATACACATTATTACAACACTATACAATTAACTCCCATGGGAGACTTTTGTGGAGCTACAAACAATGAACTGTATATACGATCAATAATCTTGTGTCACATTTGTAAATAGAAACTTTCTTTCAAGTGAAATCATGTACTTTATACTTAAATTGCTACTCTCTATTTTGTTAATATAATCAAAACTATCCTACAAGTTGTGCATGGCTAACTCTTTCTTTGTGGTATCGGTTAACTAGGAAATCTGTGAAGTAAGCTTATAATATAGTTAATTATTCATCACAAAATACTATCAGTTTATTTTGATAGGTCTTAGACAGATCGCATAACCGTTGACACTTAGGTTGATCTACATCATAGAGGTTCATTAGTCAATTCATCCATTAATTCCACTTTCAATAGCTGGTCTAAAAGACGAATAATCTTATTTTCGATTCATAAGTCATAATTTTATTCTACTTGTCTATAATGAAGTGCTCATTATCATTATGAATTTTTGGAATTTTCTTGTTCATTAAAACAACTAAAACCAAAACCTTTCCTACTTCTCAACAGAACTAATTGGTCATTGATTTACTAATTCCCCTAAAGTAATTCTACATTGTTTTCATAATGAATTTGTTGATGTTAATGAGATGATACCATACTGATGGAGATACAGATTAAAAATCTAGATGTTTCTTTTTTATTGCTTAGCAATTACTGATATCACCGCTCTCTATATACAAAACGTAACCGGCCAATAAATCATGTGGTTGAGTGCTACTCATTATGCTGTGGTGTTAATTTGTAGGTGATGACAAACATTGACAACAATAACAATAGCATTTTCCATAGACAACTAATCAATGAAAGGCAATAGTTAAGCACGATGAAAAATATGATCAAAGCACTTTTGAAGATAAATTTGTTTCAGATTCTACACTACTTAAAAATAATCAGTAATATATACTATAATGGGAGTTGTGGAGAAATGGCTAATGTTTCAAAAACATTTAATTCGCGTGGAAATGCGGTATAAATAAATCACGAGTATTAGATAGATTTGCAAGCAAAAAACAGTGTTCATCAATTAGTAGTCGGCGAAATTTAAGCCACAAGTTATATTAAATTAGAGTGTTAGGTTTCTAAATTACCGTGCGATTGTTTATATGTATAGTTCTGGACATAGCTAACTTTTTTCCTGTTGAACTTAAAACAAAACTTAACTAATGCTGACTATCCCGTTGGCCTGCAAGCATAGCTGATGAACTCAAAGTACAATTCCTTGACACTAGTTACAATATTTAACGAGGTAGCTTGCAAAATGATGCAGTCTTTGCACTTTAAAACACAACAGCTGTCATTAGCATTCCGAAGAACATGCAATGAATAGTTTTCCTTGGGAAACTCATATGTATTTCGGTCCCATTAAAATAAAACTAGAATTATGATGCATTTTGGTCTCACCTAACTGTATCTCATCTGTCTGCAGAGAACTAGTGTTCCAGCTACTATAACAAAACGGGTCACTACCTTTATGCAGACTTTGCAGGTATACGACACCAGGGTATGCAATTATGAAGTTATCAATGTAAATCCGCAATTTTTAGATGATAGATAAACTACAAACCGTCATACTAATAAATAATGAATTTTCAGAAACCCAGGCGTTACCTGGAGAGAAACAAAAAAATATATCCATAATGAACAATGAATGATAGTAAAAAGACGAGACAAGGTCTACACTTAAATGAACGTTTCAGATATAATACTTTCGAGAGTCATTTATGTATCATTATAGGAGAAAAATATTCCGTTTTCTTTCAAAGCTGAAATATACCTCATGAGGTATGGATGGAGGATAAGTAATCAATTCACAGCTCCATAACGAAATAGTTCACTAAATATTTGCTTAACATATGATTCATTTGAAACACTCTATTATCCCTTTGTAAATAAGTAACAAGAAAAATAATATACTTCATTAAGTCTACCGCAATATACAATTAAGATCATCAAAACCCTTTTAATTTACATATTAAAACCCACATCTGACTACCTTTAAATTAATTGTAAACCAATGATTAGCTTGTAAACTTTAGTAAGAAGAAAAGTCAACTTCGAATATTCGAAGCAACAATAAGCGAGACTGTAATTTATGAATGAACCAATCAGATTTACGATAACAGTTTTTGAATTTTGGCACGAAATTCATTCATTCATTTGGCTAAATAGAGTTTTGGCATTATCAGTCAGTCAGCCACAACGTAGGACCAGACACATATATGCATCGGTCCAAGTTGCCATACTTCATTAGTACAACAAGGTGAACACCGAATTCATAGAAATAGTTACTTCAATGGTGGTAATATATAAAAGAAAGATTTTATATAATGATATGATACAGGGAGAAAGAATCAGTTCGTAGAAAGAAAGGTATAAAACAATTTTAATCTCACGGTTTAAGGGAAGACAAAGAGTGTATCACCCAGCCTTTGTGATCGATTCTGAGCCATGTCACCAAGAGTCTCCAACCACTGGTTACGATAGTCAAGTGGACCCCAACCAAGTAGTCTGCATCGCCCGACATGATTCAGACTAGAAGTTAGTGACTTCAAAGACTGATGCCACGTTTCGCTTTGGCAGTCCCTAACTTTCTTACAACCGTGTCCAACACTAGTCAACAGAATTGCGCGTCGTGTTATTCGGTATTCAGGCATACGTAACACGTGGCCCAACCATCTCAGTCGATGAAGATTCACAACCACATTGGCATTATAGCTGATGGTAGTTCGTGATAAACCCTAACTATCAACTGTAAATATTAATCCTTATACTGGTTTATAACCCTCATTTAGCCGTAGTATGTAGGTGGACATTCTCAAGGTGGACACTGTACTTAATCAAATCATAACTATTACTACAAACTAATATAAACAAATTTTTAATTCATTTCAGATGTACATTACAAAATCGAATATTGAAAGTTTCAAGCAATGAAAGTATAAATCAAACAACTAATTATAATTTTAGTGAATATCTACAACCAACTAATACCATTTTATTATAAACAAGTTTATTAACTCCGAAAAAGAACAGAAAGAAATTGATCAATCAAACTAACTGATCCAATATATCTACATACATGAATAAGATCATTGTATTATTCATAAATGTTTCAAATGCATATGACTGTATTACAAAAGTTCTTTTACAAGATCCTATCAGCATCTTGAATATTCGAAAAAAAAAAAGAAAACCCTGACCTAGAAAAGGATATTTACAAATAAATATTTGAATAATATTCATTTGATAAGGTTTTGTACAAAATTGCTTTTAAAAATATAAATATAATCTTTGAATTAGTAATATATATTTTAGTGATCTTTAAAAATTGCGCTACATTGTGATCAGTTTGAGTAAACAATCTTTTTGATGAAAACAACAACAAAGAAATTAGCTAACTCATAGATTATGCTATACGTTTTATTGTAGTAAATTAGGGTATGGAATGTAAAACGAATAAAACTGAGCATTATATAATGAGGTTTTCAAGATGCTACGATCAGTCGTAGCTTTCTGACGTTAGATATATAGTAATAATAACGAGAAAGATATGTTCAGAATTGGTACAGCCTATATGTCGATACACTTTATTATTATGTAACACTGACACTCGTTAATATTACACATAAATACCTGTGTTGGTATGATTAACCTTGTAATTTTCCAGAAAAACGTCAATGTATTTTCTCACCTCCGAACTTGATATTAGTACGAAACATAGTCTGATATTTTATGACAACTGAGCATTGTTATATTGAAAGCGAATAACATAAAGCTTATTATAAATTGAAGTATCATAGATAGAATCTTCATATACGGTTTTAAAATTCTGCATAACAATACGAATTACTTACTTACGCCTGTTACCCCTTGTGGAGCATAGACCGCCGAATACATAAATACTTAATAATAACAACTGTATGAGGTCCTCCTAATATGTTCCACCTGTTCGTCTAATTAACACTAAACAAAACTTTGTCATTGGACTCTGATTATTACCAACATCAGCAATTGACCAAATAATAGTTCATTATATCTCGCTGAAGAGTACAAATGACAATGAAATGATGATTTGTAACTCAAGTAGATGATTTTGGTGAAATTTTGTTCTCTGATCAAACCACCCAGCTCAGAGAAAAATTTCAACAAAAGAACAATGTTTTTAGGAATACATTTAATGAAGAATGCCAAGTATAACTTCTTAATTCTCAAATTAAGGCATGTTTTTCGCCCTTATTGTTTTTCATTTATATCAAATCCATTCTAATGTAGAAAATATAACCTAAAATGAAATTAGTCTACTTCATATACAAGTGTTTCATTTTGAACTTCAATCAGATATTTTATTTCGAAATAAATAGATATAAATTTATTTTATGTATCATTACATTTTCACTGAAAATACTAAAGCGTAATCAAGTCTATGACTTTTACATTTTTGGTCGACTGAAGTTCTCTAACAAAATCTTGATCTGTTGGGAATCCAACACACACACACACACACAAACATCCCTTTTGACAAGTTATATCACAATAGACGTATGAGATAACATGACTAAGGTAATAATAATTTGAAGATGGAATTGATAAGATCAACTCAGTCTTCTCATTGCTTTATCGAAATTTATAAAAAGGACTAATTGCTTTAATGACAATTTGTTACCAAATTCGAAAAATTACAGTATTTGTTAAAAGTAGACTCATTATGCGTTCAGAAAAATGCGTTTTCGATTGGTCGTAAGTCAGAGGGACAAAGGGTAAATCGAACATATTTCACATCAATAAAAAGGTTATCTCCCCTTTCATCGATCACCGTTCTTAGTGAACAAAACACTGCATAAATCCACGGGAAAATACAGTTTCATAAAACCCCCTTATTTAAAAGGCCTATAATATCGGTAGTTTAATGCATTACCGGAGCACATTACTGTATGCTTAACTGAAAACACTAGTTCTTCTATACGAACTCACTGTATTCATGATTTTGTTAAACAAAACAAAATGAGAAATGAATAAAAACAAACTAATCTTTTCCAAGCATAATAATAGCAATTGGTAATTATATATTACATATCAGCTTGTAGTGACACTAGCATTATCATTCCCCCTCTTCAAAAAACGTTAGGAATAATTTTCGTATGGGATTGAAAATAAAAGCCAAAGGGGAAAATAGGGAATATACAGTAACTAACTCAATATGTTTTTACATATACACATTAAGAAAGTTTGCATTTATTCGAAGAGGGAGAATATATGTATATAGTTTCAAATGGCACCACGTAAAAATAAGCGGAAAACAACTAACGTCATTTACACAACTGCAATTAACAACAAAGAATTTTGACTTTGTTCCGATTAGAACGCTAATCTTTTAATGCTTACACAAGCGCACACGCAAGTGCAAGCACAATAACTCTAATGAAAAAATACTGTCCAGTTTATGTTTCATCTGATAAAACAATAAGAATATAATTACATCATTATAGACAAAGAAAATTATGGACGACGAGAGCGTCTGCTTGAAAGTGGTCGACGTCGAGGCGCATTCGTAGCATTAGATGGAGGATTAGTTGAAGATGTATTAAAAGTGAATGGATTGGAATTAGCAACGCCAGTACTTAACGGTGTTTGACCAAAAACAAAACAAGCATTTGTTTGAGGTGTAATTACACTTGGTGTAGATGTTTGGGGTAGAGAGAAATTAAAGCCACTAAAATTAGTTGGCGGATTAATATTAGAAAATACGGGAGTTGAAGAGAATTGAAAAGAGTTAGTGGTAGTAGTTATGGGACCCGAATTAAGCGAGGAAAATGACAAAGTTGGTAGGGTGCTCGGTTGTGAACATGCAGGTGTGAAGTGTTGGCCAAACGAAAATTGAGGCACTGAGGAACCAAAAGAGAGCGGTTGAGAAACGGAAGCTGCAGATGGCTTTGAATTAGAACTGAAACTACCGAACTGAAACAATGTACTAGCAGGCGTTACAGAAGTTACAGTTGTAGTCACAATTGTCGTACCAAACGACAATCCACTGGTGATGGCTACATTAGATGCGGCGCTAGAAGTTAACTGATTAAAATTGAATTTTAAAGATGATGATGTATTAGGAGTTTCGAAAATCGAATTACTAGCTCCAAATAAAGATGTAGTTTTGGCAGGAGTTACATTTGCTGGTTTAATTCCAAGAGTAAAGGAGTTTGTTGAAAATGTTGTAGACACTGGATTAAGTAATGGGTTTATCGTAGTTGAACTGAAACCAGATACAGACGTGTTTGTGGGAAGTGATACAGTTGTGGAACTGATGTTAATAGAATTTGATCCAAATAATGACACGCCAGAAGTACTAGTAATTGGGGATGTAAAGGTAAACAAACCAACATTATTTGCTACAGTATTTAGCGATGACGTGGTACCCGTTATCTGACCAAAAGCACCACTTGAAATGGTTGATGAAGGTTTAGACACGTTAGCACCAAAGACAAAACTACTTGACACAGGTCCAGAGTTGGAAAATGATCCCAAAAATGATGGCATAGAAGTTGATCCAAAACTAACGGATGAGATTGGTTTTAGTGAGGATGTAGTCACTGTCGACGCTCCAAATGTAAAAATGGAAGCCGTAGAAATGGGTTGGGAATTAATTGAACCAAAAGTAAACGGTCTGCTACTGTCGGACTGAACTATATTTTCAGCTACCGATGATGGGTTACTAGTAGGAACACTAGTCGATGATGTAATAGCTGGTTTCGGGAAAGAAAACTCACTGAATGTAGAAATAGGCTTCAAAGGTTCAAAAACACTTGAACCAAGATTTGCTGTCGATGATAAGTTTGAACCTAGAGAATACATATGAATGAAATTAAATGAAATCTCGTATCCAAATCCTGTTCAAAAAGGATGAAATTATATCTTAAAACCAATAAGTTAACCAAATCCAAATTAGTGACACCAATATCATGGACAACATTTTCGACTTTATTGACCCCAATTATGTTTTTCCTTAGGTATCTTAACTGCTGATATTGAGATTCTTCTTAACTATGTAACATCTCATAATCTCACATTAACTAATTTTTTTCAGTTAGTTAAGAGTTAAAAATTTTATTTAGTGGCAACATTCATCTAAAAGTTCGATCCTGACACTGTCGATGAACTGGATGTTTATACTACGAATAGCACCTTAGAACGGTCGTTTGGTGATCTCTAAATATCATATATCCTAAACCCGCTTGGTAATTTCATAGACGACATCTCACTGCATAAATGTATAAACGGCTGAACAGTAATATGGGACAAACAAGATAATGTGATGTTGACGGCTTGATACCGTACTCGGCCACATTATCTTAACGATCAGAAACGCAAAGTGTTAATTCAGCGGTTAAGGCGTATAGCTTCTATCCATTGAGCTAGAGGTTGGAACCCCCTTGCATCCATTTCAGTCTTAGCAACCGGTAGCATTACTAATCATAACTAAAGTGTGTCCCGAAGCCAAGTACACGAGTATATGTATCTGGTAAATGAGCTACGTTGGGAAGCACAAAAGGTCCACTGCCTCTAGCGAAAATAATTTTAAGGGAGATTCAGGTACTACGACATCACCACACAAGTAATTGAAACCGCTTCTACTCAATGCAATAGATGAGCGTAGTTTGGGAATGTTTGTATTTTTAAATTTCACTTATTTCTGTTAAATATACAAAACAGATACCCGTTAAATTTAATAAATCAATACAAACATTAAGTTGCCTCATCACTCGATTCGTGCCTAAGCAGAGTTCATATTACTCCCCCATAAAAAGGGAAAATAAATAATATAATATTGATAAGAATGCTTGAAAAAGCTATCAGTAAAACATATTATGTAGCTAGACTTACGGTGGTTGCAAAAAAGAAACCTATACTTCAATACAGGTTTTAACAATGATTACGTCACACCTCAGTATTTATAAACCTTAATGTATACATCAATACACATGGGGAATAAATCAGAATATGGATTCAGCTACTCAGTTAATCATAACCAACGTACAGTTTGCCAAAAATATTAATTCAGTGGTTGGATAACATGCTTCGGTTTGAGCGCCCGGGTGGCACTCCAGCCCCCACACACATCGAATGACGAAGTGTGTCACATATATATTTAGTGCCTTCTTATACAAATGTTTGTGTTTAAATAAATAAAATAAATAATAAATAAGTAGATAACATGCATTTTAATAGCTTTGCAAACTGAATTCTAAATTTTCGATCAACACAAATAGTGGGTAGCTATTTTCATTTATAATCAAATACAATCAATGAAAGGATAGAAGTGATAATATTTAGCAACCTCTAGTGAAGGCTTTAACCATCGCAAGGATAGGCTCTCTATAAATGTTCAAAATTAAAACGTTTAGTAATCGATCGTATCATAATCCATTACTCTGATGGTCATCCAAACATTCCATCATACTTTATAAATAAACGGATTAATTTAGTTAACTTGTATCAATGAAGACATTCAGAGGGCATTTGGGGACATAACAGTTTCATAGTGTTTTAAAATGATTTTCCTATGTACATGCATAGATTCAACTTTGATTGTAAATATTAAACAACAGATAAAATCGTGAACAATGGCTATATTGTTACCAAAGAATTTCGGAGAAGATAATTACATTTAAGAACTTACTAGTCGTCTGTAAAGGAGTCGATGAAGTAGGTGGAAATGAAAAAGAGAAAGCAGGAGTGATCTTCTGTGTTGCTGTTGTTGTCGCCGTTGCAGAAACTATTGTGGCAGATGTAGTTATCGTGCTGGTCGGAAAAGTAAATATGGAAGATGGAACTACTGCAGAATTACTTTCAGATGTTGAGACAGCAGTGAAATTGGTAACTAATGGAAATATTGGATGTGAGACTGAAGCTGACGTAGTTACAGCTATTGTTGAAATGACTGTTGGCTCCTTCAAAATTGATACATGGGCGGTAGAAGCAGTAGAGAAAGAAAATGAAACTGATGTAACGGCAGTTGCTAATACTGTACTTGCACTAGCCACTGGGGCGGATGGAGAAGATATGTTGGATGTAGAAGTAAAACTAAAACTTATGCTACCAGGTAGACTTACTATAGAAGTAACGGTAATAGATGTTGGGATAACAGCTTGAGTACTGATAACTTCACCAACTGAACTAATTACAGGAAAACTGAAATGTTTGGAAGTGGTTGAAGATGCCAATGGATTGCTAATGGAGGTGATATTCTGAACTGATGCAGAAGTGTTACATACAATGACTGACATGAAACTTACGCCAGATGTTGAATGAACACTAGGCAGTGACGATGATATGGTAGAAACTATAGGAGATGAATTTGAACTAGCTAGGATTTGAGTGATGGGACTACAATAGCTAGTACTTGTAATAGAACTGATAGTAGAGTGAGTACTATAACCACATGAACTGCTCGAATTATTACTAGATTTGGCTGAGATCAGTTCACGAATACGTTTCACACGTGATTCCACATCAAATCCCGCAGAAGCAGTCTTAATCTGTGACTGACTCATCTTATTAAGAAATAGGTTTGAATGACTTTCAAGGTTTGCAATAAAGCGATTTAAGGATGTCGGCTGAACAACTGGGAGTTCTGAACTGTCAGTCTCTGATTTCTCATCGTAACAAGTTATATTAGTAACTAGTGGTGGTCCAACATTATTTAAAGACGACTGAGTTGAATCCTCTACGGTTTGGTTGTTTTCAGTTGCAATCCTACGAGCAGTGACTTTTTTTCTTGAATACTGAAAAGGTGATGTATCCAAATCAATAGAATTAAAATCACCTGCTTCTGAGGTGTGATTCTCTAGAGCATACTGACTCGTATATGTTAAAGCTTTAGTAGACAACAAATGGGCTTCAAGTTCAGATGGTGACATGTATGGAATCTTTCTTCTCAGAGCTGCAGCAGATCCAAAAATATTATTTAGGGACGGTTTAACACTCCCCGCAGATGATGTGGTTGAAACTGTTCTATCATCTTCGCACTCATTCAAAACTTGCGTCTGAACTGATTTGCTATTTCGATCGCTCACTTTGGATAGTAATCTGTTATCAGTGGCACAGGCAGTAACCCCAACTGCATTTCCGCTATTGAGTTGACGCAAGGATGTGAAAGAAAAGCCGTCAACATCGTGTGTGCACCCCACAGTAGATATATCGAATGTCCTAGATGTTTTTCGACGCTTAGAATTTCCAAAGTCTGATTCATCTTGCGATGATTCCTCTGTAGTAACAGTAATATCAGAAAGCTCACGAGCACGCTTTTTCGACTCGAAAACACGTAAACCATGTTTAATGGCTATATCTGAATTAGGTGGCTCAGGAGTCCCAAATAAGTTTGCCTTTGTGCTCTCAGTCCGACAAACGCGACGTTTCAGAACTGGAGAATGGTAACCATTTAAAGGCTGGAAGTTAAAGATAGTCGGCATATAACTTGGGGAATCCCTGTGTAGTGTTCGACTTCGACCAAAATAGGCTGAAACTAGTGATTGTTTGGAACGGTCTGAGGATGTTGAACTTGAACCATTTAAAAGAGAGTGTCGCCTTTGAGAATGATTTATTGGACCATTACCCGACACTTTTGGTAAGAGAATTCTAGAGTAGTAAGGCTGGGATGTCTGTGGCGAGTCCGACGAATTTGATATCACAGAGTTGTTCCGGTACATTAGTGAAAACTGTTAATGGTTACCATGTACAGCTAAAAAAATAAACAAGGAACATGGAAAAAGACATAACCATATGATAAAGTCGGTAATATCTATTTGACGACTGTCACTCCAAACCAACTTAGTGAACTGTGATATGTAAAACGAAACCCGTTCTGAATATTAAGTATTTAGTATATATATCACGGTTCCTCAAAGATATTTAGATTAATCCAGTATACCAAAACAACACAGTCATCTTAAGCGTACATAGAAATAGATAAACATAATGTAGAACCTTACAGAAACGAAACTATTTGAGCTACCATACTTCGTGTATGTAAATAACATTACTTTTATAAGTTTAATTGGAAATGGACTGGACCAGGTTAAGCTGCGGCTTTTGCCCCCAAATGCCCTGGTACGGCTGAGTGGGGAGAGTCCGCTCTCCCTGTCGAAATACTCTCACGGCCACGCGTATACAGCCTCTGACTGGGAAGTCCTACTCACTGCCTTCTCGTGGCATTACTGTTGTTTACGAAAATGAGAGGACGAAAAGCGAATGTCCAGCGCTTTAACCGGATTCCAAACCAATGGTGCACATGGGCTCCAGTATCCTGCGGGAACAAATGGCGTATGAACCAATCGCTGGTCACCGGCTACCATGGGACTGCATTTACTTACGATGCTCCACTGCCTTCTGGGTTAGACCTTTAGGTCAAAGGCTCGGGGTGCGGCCCCCTGAGAAAACCACCTGCTTCGGTCTGGGCACCCGGGCAGTATCGCAGCCCACACGCAAACGATGAACTCTCTATATCTATGGAACCTAATTTTCTCGCTTCGAAAAACAACCAAATGATTAAAATTATTATCATTACTATTATTGTCATTATTATTACTATTATTGTTATGATTATCACTATTATTATTATTATCATTATTGTTATTATTATTTGCCACATTATTCACCCTCTTTTATACTTATATAGTGGCTCGTCTTTGGTGGAAATTCGACTGTATCTAAACGTTCTCGAGTCACTGTCTGGTTGAACATTGCATGTTTCCACTGAATATGAGTACTGAAGCAGTTTTTCTGAAACCACGTGCGCCATTCAAACTGGCTGCCTTCAACGTTCGCACACTTATGCAGGTCGGACAACAGATAGGGCTGGCTATGTCTTTGGAAAGTCTTAATATTGATGTTTGTTGTCTATCCGAGACCCGTATTCAAGACTCTGGCGAAGTACTACAAATTCGCTCTCCATCTGTCGCTTCAAAAAGCTTGTTTTACGTGCGCTTATCCGGGGACCCTGTGGCATCTTCGTCTGGTCTTGCTGGCGTTGGTGTCGCACTAAGCGCTAGAGCTGAGGCAGCACTAATCGATTGGATCCCCATTAACAGTCGGTTATGTGCTGTTAGATTAGAAAGTTCCATCAAAGTGAGAAGAAATCGACGTGAGAAACGATATCTCTTCGTCATCTTTGCCTATGCCCCGACAGATTGCAGCCCGGATGCAATCAAGGACGAATTCTACCTCCAGTTAACTGTTCTTCAGAAAGTGCGTTCGACAGATATTGTAGTACTAGCCGGAGACTTGAATGTTCAGGTCGGGCGCCTAGGCACAGAAGAAAGTCGTTTAGGTGGCCGATGGGGACTCGTTGGTCGCAGGACAGATAACGGGGACCGTCTACTGCAACTGTGCACAGACCACAACCTGTTTCTGGCTAGCACTAACTTTCGGCACAGTCATCGCCGATGTGCCACCTGGCATCCTCACTCTGCATCCCAAGCATGGACTCAGATTGATCACATCGCGATCAGCTACCGCTGGCGTGGTGGTGTACAAGACTGCCGCTCCTTTTGGAGTACCTATCTGGACTCTGACCATGCCTTGGTCTGCGCCAATCTTACCTTACTTTTCAGTGGACAACGAAGTGAACGCCATCAACGGATTGATGTTAGCAAGCTGGTTGCAACTTCTGTTGCAAGTAAGTATCGAACCGAGCTAGCCTCTAGGCTAGCTACCACTCCACCGAAAAGTATAGATGAGCATTGGTTGCAATTGCATGACGCCATGAAAATGGCGGGAACAGTCAGTTGTGGGTTTGCGAAACGTCCCGCTTTTAAGCACTGGGTTTCTTCTGGTTCCTTACAACTCATTGAAGCCCGTCGGTCTACTCCGGGTGACCGTGAGTTTGACCATAAACGAAGGATGTTACGTAAGGAAATTGGGCAAAGCTTGCGTAAGGACCGAGAAGCCTGGTGGTCGGAGCGTGCTAATGAGTTGAAAGCAGCAGCTGCATCTGGTAATTACCGGAAGCTCTTCCAACTCATCCGAGCCACTGGCAGCAAGAAATCTGGTGTGAGCGAAACAATCTGCGAGGATCGTGGGATGCCAATCACTAACATCCATCGACGTCTTGGACGATGGGCAGAATTTTTCGAAGGGCAGTTCAACTGGCCTGCTGCTCCGGCAACATCGGTCAGACTGTCCTGCTCTCCATGGCCGGTGACGACTGATCCACCAAATGAGGAGGAAGTCCGCAAGGAACTCCAACTCTTGAAGCGTTACAAATCACCTGGCCCAGATGACTTACCTCCGGCTCTTTTTAAAGATGGTGGTGACTTTTTGACTAAGGAATTGACGACGTTGTTTACAAAGGTTTGGGAACTAGAGAGTGTACCAACGTCATGGAATGAGTCGATAGTTGTCCCTATCTTTAAAAGGGGTTCACGTCGTTCCTGTAACAACTATCAGGGGATAAGTCTACTTCCGATTGCGTCCAAGCTATTGGCTTCCATCATACTTCGTAGGTTGTTCAAAACCCGAGAAAGATTGACTCGCGAGGAGCAGGGTGGTTTTCGTTCTGGTCGAGGATGAATTGATCATATCTTCACCCTCCACCAAATGTTAGAACACCGCCATACTTATCAAAGGCCAACAATCGTAGTGTTTCTTTACATCACGGCTGCCTTCGATTCGCTGGATAGGACTGTTCTCTGGGATTTTCTATTGAAGAAGGGTGTGTCTGAAAAGTTTATTAACATCCTAAAAGCCCTACATACAAACACCTCAGGCAGAGTGAGGGCATACAACCACCTCTCTCCATTGTTCCATTCGAGCAGTGGGGTTAGGCAGGGTTGCCCAATCTCACCATTCCTCTTCAACTTTGCCATCGATGACATTCCGGAAACAGCTTTGATGGATGTAAGTAATGGTGGTGTGGATCTGTTGCCTGGAGAAAGACTTCTCGACCTTGAGTATGCGGACGATATTGTCTTACTGTGCGATAATGCCCAAGGCATGCAATCCGCACTTAATCAGTTGGCAATCAGTGTCCGTAGGTATGGTATGTGCTTTGCACCTTCGAAGTGCAAAGTACTTCTACAAGACTGGCAGGATTCTAATCCTGTACTCACCCTGGATGGTGAGCAGATAGAAGTAGTCGAGATGTTCGTGTATCTGTGTAGCTGCATAAGTGTTGGTGGGGGTGTGAGTGATGAGATCAATGCACGTATAGTGAAAGCCAGAGCGGCTTATACCAATCTGGGCCACTTTTGGCGCCTTAGTGACGTTAGTCTGGCTGTAAAAGGTCGGATCTACAACGCGTCGGTGAGAACAGTTTTGCTCTATGCTTGTGAAACCTGGCCTCTCCGAGTTGAGGACGTTAGACGACTCTCTGTGTTCGATCATCGCTGTCTCCGAAGGATTGCTGACATCCAGTGGCAACACCATGTCAGTAATGCAGAGGTTCGGCATCGTGTGTTCGGGCACAGAGACGATAATGCAATCGGTGTCACCATCTTGAAACACCGACTTCGGTAGCTTGGACATGTTCTACGAATGTCGTCCCAGAGAATTCCACGTCGTGCATTATTTGCCGACTCTGGGACTGGTTGGAAAAAGCGGAGAGGTGGTCAGTTTATGACATAGTGTCGGAGTATGAAAGAAAGCTGCGAAGGACTGGCTTCTGTTGGTCCTTCACGACTCCCTGGTTGGGGTCCGAGAGATGGTGCTACACAGTGGCTAGAGACGTTATCAGATATGGCTCAGAATAGAAGCCAGTGGCGATCCTGCTGTAACCTTCTTTTACTTTCTTCATAACAAGTGGTTGTAACTCCCTTAACTGAAGGAATCCTTTCTGATTGTACCTTTCCGTTCCCTCATTATTACTATTATTATTACTACACTACCCTACACCAACCTCTCCGTTATTGTTCTTTTTTTTACGCTCCTTACCTTTTTTTCTTTCTATACGAATTCTCATTGTTTTGTGTGGCGCATATATATTGGCGCTCTCTTGTACCAATATTTGTGTTCAAATAAAATAAAAATAAAAATACCCAGAAAATGCCAACACCTAATGGTGTTTATTGAACAAGATCTTTTTCGGGTCATATTGAATCCCGAGAAGAATCGGTAAGTCTTATCTTTTTACTAGTGTTCATTTCCGTAACAGATTTTGACAGAAATCATCTTTACGTAAGCCAAGAAATGACTTACATTAACGTGACACGATGTGATTACTATGATTATTTATTTATTATCTAGAACATAGATATTGGTACAAGAAGGCACCAAATACATATGCATCACACAAATCTCATTTGATATGTGTGAGGGCTGTGATACTGCCCGGGTACCCAAACCGAAGCAGGTAGTTTTCTCAGGGGGCCACACCCAGAGCCTTCGACCTGAGGCTCTGATCTACAAGGTAGTGGAGCATCGTAAGTAAATGCAGTCTCATGGTAGCCGGTGACCAACGATTGGTTCATACACCATTTGTTCCTTCAGGATACTGGAACCCATGTGCACCATTAGTTTGGAATCAGGGTTTTCCAACTCCCCTAGGTGGACTCTCCATGTCCATCAACCCGGTTAAAGCGCCGAATATTCGCTTTTCGTCCTCTCATTTTCGTAAACAACACCCCCGCCACGAGAAGACAGTGAGTAAGAATTCCCTGGCAGAGGCTATATACGCGTGGCCATGTGAGAGCATTTCGAGAGAGAACGGACTCTCCCCACTCAGCCGTACCAGGGCATTTGGGGGCGAGTACTATAAACGCCAACTTCCAAGAATTTCAGACGGATAATCCAAAAAAGTCACACGGGTAAACCACACTGAGTTACCATTGTCTTACTATCAACCAAATAAACGAATCGATAAGCTAAAAACTTCAGAAATTAAACAGCATTTACCTAGTATCCAAAGACATTCTCACATCTCTGAAAGCAATTCACCCAATGGTAATTACATAAACCTCAGGGAAAGTCCCAACGAAAAAACTATTTAACTGTTTAAGTAGTGCACTTAAAAGATGGCCCCTTCCGGTTGAAAGGTAATTGCCATGAGGCATCGTAACCCGTAAACGAACTAAGCATCTAGACGAATTCTCCTGAGATAATAAATTGTTATCCAAGATGCATTAGCTGCATTTGGTGTGAGTGTACAGCGCAACTTAAGTGTAAATAACGTCTATAATCAAGATAAGTGGTGGTCAACGTAGCAGACTACCTAACTCTGCCGTACAACTCTTAAGATAACATTTTGGATGTGAATGGTGAGGAACGTGTCTCAACCATTCTCATATTCACTTAGTGTTCAAAAACTACATCACTTGATTTCTTAACGTTAGTAGAATCCCTGGGTAAGAGATCATCTGAGAAATTAGACAAGCAATACACTTTTAAGCGAATCTATAAAACTGAATTAAAACCAGGGAAACAGACGCAATTGACAAACACCGATAGGTGTAACTAACCTAATGATGCCTCCAAATGCTTTGGTACGGCCGAGAGTGGGTAGTCAGCTTTCCCTCTCGAAATGCTCTCACATGGCCATGAATACAACTACTGTCAGGGAAGTCCTACTCATTGCCTTCTCGCCACAGGGGTGGTATTTACTAAATTGAGAGAACGGAAAACAATTGTCCGGCGCTTTAACCGGTTTGGTGGACACGAAGAGTCCACCTAGGGAGGTTGGAGGACCCTGATTTCAAACCATTGATGAACATGGGTTTCAGGATCCTAAAGGGACAAATGGTGTATGAACCTATTGTTGGTCACCGGCTACCATGAGACTGCATTTACTTACGATGCTCCACTACCTTGTGGATCAGACCTTCAGGTCGAAGGCTCTGGGTGTGGCCCCCTGAGAAAACCACCTGCTTCGGTTTGGGTACCCGGGCAGTATCTCAGCCCCTACACAAACCGAATGATTTATGTGGCGCATGTTTATTTGGTGCCACCTTGTACCAATGTTCGTGTGTTTAATCAATTAAAAATTTAATTAGAAACCTAATGACCGTAAAGATTTTGATTCCCAAGTGATAAATTAAAAAGCATTTAATAGGATTAGATACTTCTTACTTCTTTTGATGAACGATCACAACAGAAAAGAACTTCAACTGAAGGAGTCTAACCACACCTTCGAACCAGGAAATAAAGTCAACTATCCGTAATATGTATACTATAAAACTCAAGGTTTTGGCATCCGGGCAGCATCATAGCCCACATAAAAAGCAAGTGACTTGTGTGACACATATACTCGGCACCCCTTTGTATTAATATTTATGTGTTCAAATAAATAATTAAAACAAGGGATGTTAGGTGCTTACTCGACATATTCACTATCAATAGTAAAACCTGCCGTTTAATAGGGTTCCCTGTTCTCAATCACTGGTTAAGCGATATACAATGGCTAGTATTGTAGAAAACACTAAGATTTTCCATGATTACTACAAAAGCAACAACAAAAGTAATGCAACTTATCAGTCAAGTAAAGGTTTATGTATTGAGTCTCGAGATTTCGCAAACTGAAACAGGAGCTTTGTTTGAACTTGTAACCTGATTATTCTCACTACTAATTAGTGATTACTACGACTGACAAGTGTGGAGCATATCACAAGCATAAGTCTTTGAAAATATTCGTAAGATTCTACAGCTTGTAACTGTCTTTGCCCAGAGGGACTGATACCTTTTTAACTTAAACGGACCATAAGTCTTCAAATATATCAGATCCCGGAAAGCCGTGACTGAATAATGTTCCCTAAGACTGAAGAATAACGTTTTGACCAACAATCAAATGTCTGAAACTTCCCTGATTCAGCTCTTTTACCAGACATGTTATAATTATGAAGCTAAGGGTTATAGAAATTAGTGCAGTTGAAATAATTTTCAAATGTTCGTCATAAAAAAATCCTGCATTCCTTGTAAACTACATTAAATATTAAGACCAACTTGAAGGGACTATTCATGATACTCCATCTACAGCTCAAAAATCGTTTGGGCTTTCTAACCTGCTACCTTTCAGTTGAACTGTAGTTCTCTTCAGTTGATAAGAACTTCATTAATGACTGACTTATCTAATCATTACTTTCCGTCTATCTGATACTTTCTATAAACTCGACGTGATAACAGATGCTAACTTGAGGACATAAACAACGATTTAAATGCCAATAGTCAGGCTAACACTAGTCATGTTACATAAAACTTTGCATGTGTGTTGGTTTCACTTACCATATCATACATTAGCTTAACAGTAGTAAGCTAACTAGATAGAACAATGGAGTGTAGATAATAAAACCAAGTGATAGGAAAGTAAGCAGAAAAAATTGAGCTGGAAAGAATAGATATGACTGGGAAATAGGGATACAGTTTAAACAGCCAACAAAAATATGGAAAACGAATGCTCTGGCCTAAATTAAAACGATGTTAGGACATTAATTGACTTTTGACTACAGACTGGTTTTCTGATAGACCCCAGTCACATCACCACTTAGGACAAGGCATGAATTCACCTCATAATAAAAAAGGGCTGGGGTGAGGACCAAGTGTTTCCACGAATTACAGAGGAACTAACTGACAAGTACTACGAAGTGCACAGGAATTTTAGTACAATCCATGTGACGTTTCTATTATCTACTGACTTTGAAGCAGGAACTGTGTTGATGCTTATTCAGAATTGATCTGTAGATAAAAGGAACATAAAAGCTGGCACATAGGTGTAGACTGTGAGTGGAAAACATGACCTAGAGAGTAGGGAGTGAAACAGCAGTAAATTTTCTGACCTAGGAAAGCAGTATAAGGCATCAAGCAAATAACAGGTAACAACTTAGAGCACAAACAAATGAGAGAACTGTGTATTTTTTAGGTCTAGCTTTGATTCATGATGAAACCATGATACGGCTATGGGTAACAAAAGTGAGAAAATCCCATCTGAAATATATAGAATCCAATCAAGGTGATACTAAATGAGAGTAGAGAAACGCATTTTTGATGTAAACGTGAAATACCTTGGTCACAACAATTTCTCTAACTCTGGAATAATGTGCGAGATGTTTTATGATAAGATGAACAAAACACTTGAACCGAATTAAATCATGTCCACTGATTAGCCTTAGAACTGGTAAACTAAGAAAATGATTCCGAAAGGTAAACAAGCAAGCTGTCTACAGGCGGAAATTGACTTTCCAGCACAAAACTGTATAAAAAGCCGTGTCACAACACTATTGACTTGTAACTACAAATGGATATTGGTCTCCTACAAAATTACTAATCTTAATGACTTCGAAGTAAAATATTTTCTCATTACAGCTTCATATTAAACAAATGGTAAGTGTGAAAATCCCGAGGATTTTGAAGTGAAACGACAAATCACTTCCCGAAAAATGAAACTTAAACCCAATGTGTGTTTACAACTACTATTAAATGTAAGGCATGAACGCTAAATAAAATAACAAATACACATATACCAATGCAGATCACATACAGCCACAGCAAAACGTGAACAGCCGCCCCGAGGCGCTAAAAGTTGTTTTAATTCACCAACACGAAATTCAAAACATCCTCAGCAAAAAAACTATCAGGAAGCGTAATCACAAATGAATAAATTTGTTAATAGTGGGGATTAGTTTTATTTGCGTGCTTCAGCATAAGAACTTGGAGAGAGTTCATTAAAAAGAATGACGTTTCAGAGTCCTTAAAATAGAAACTGAACATTGTATAGGATAAGTTCGCAACAGCAAAGTAGTAGGAATACCAAATTTTATTCATAGCAGTAGTGAAATAATGAAACGAAATATTAGGAGCGGAAATTGATGCCACAGATTAGCGAGACTTTTGATTACTTTGTAGTGACCTACTTTTATCAAGAGAACGCGATTGGTGTAATGGAAACAATTATTATTATATCCAATTGTACCACGGATTGTTTCACTGTACTTGTTTGCTTAACCGTACTAAAGACATCTTTCCTTCCGTTGATTGTAACCTTCCACGCGCTTACGTTTGCTTAGTGATTCCGCTTGTACTCCTTTGGCGCGATCTCGGTATTCTTTCGATACTACGAGATCGTCAACAAATACATATTGACTACAGCCATCAACTGCCTACTGATATTTCGCTTACAAGGATCATATCGGTTAACTGTCACATAGTCTTCCTGTAGAGGTGATCATAGTCAACCGCAACCGAACACCACACTACAACTTCATAACTTCTCTTTCATTCCAAGTGGTTATGGATGGAATAGAAGCTTTTGCTGAATGGACTTCAATGTTTATTAGAAACGGACTATTGACGTCTCCAGTCAATGACCTTGATTTATGAAATAAACATGACTAGAAGGGATTTGGTATCATATAATGTTCTGAGTCCTCACGAAGGACTCCAGGAAGTCGTTCGTACCGCTTAAGTCTTTAGCGAATTCCAAGAGTTGACTAATCATGAGAAGTAGGTTTACCTACTGTTCACTTTACTGTGTGGAGATAATTACGACAAACTTATTTTGTAATTAGTCTTCGATACTATTTGCACTTCTTTCATTAATTCTCGCAGTTTGTACATTTATTAGGAGTGACTGTAAAATAGTCGTTTAAAATCGCACGACCTGAATTCTTCCTTTTCCGTTTGGAATCCCTTATAGCACGACACACTAATAACCGCTCACAAATGCACTGCTACACATATACATCTTTCGTTCTCAATTGTCTGTCGTTATGATACCTGAACTCTAACGTATTTACCATCTACATTTATAGACCACAGCTATATTTCCATTATATACTCCATCTAGACATACCGTTCGAATCGCAACAATCTTCATTGAAATTTTCAATTACTTATGATTGTGGATTATTATACCAAACGCAGCTCGAACATACCAAGTCCTAAACTTGGTTCTCAGTTTTATGCCAACTCCTTTCTCCGATTTATCAATTATTTGCGATGTTTTAACTGGTAATAAACTCCGCCTGGAGTCCCTCCGGCGGCTACTGCCGGTCCCAAGCCCGGATAAAGGAGGAGGGTTGGGCATGGGGTTAGCGTCCCCATCCCGTAGAAAACTAACTCGCTAAAAAAACGCTAACCAGAAAAAATTATTCAAACCTTTTAAACTCTGCCCTGGGAGTCAGAAGATCTTCATTTAGAAGAATTATGACGCCTCATGATGAAAGCCGAATCCCTTCGGAAGTTACGAGGCCGATGCCCCTTCTGACAACCAGAGCGACCATTTATTTAGGTACATGGAATGTTCGTACAATGTTGGACACCGGGAGAGCCTTTCAAATTGCTGCGGAAATGAGGAGATACAACCCAGAGGTGCTTGGGATCAGTGAAACACATTGGACGCAAGTTGGACAACAACGACTAACTTCAGGGGAGTATCTGTTATACTCCGGCCGTGAAGAAGAAAATGCCCCACATACACAAGGAGTTGCATTGATGCCGCCCAAACAAGCACAAAATGCACTTATAGGATGGGAATCGCATGCACCAAGGGTCATCAGGGCCTCCTTCAAAGCAAAGAAAGAGGGCATTTCAATGAACATCATCCAATGCTATGCGCCTACCAACGACTACAATGAAGACGCTAAAGATCAATTCTACAATAGGCTACAGTCAATCATCGAGAAGTGCCCAACAAAGGACCTGACCATTCTGATGAGAGATTTCAATGCCAAGACTGGAACGGACAACACTGGATATGAAGACATCATGGGACGACACGGACTGGGAGAAAGAAACGAAAATGGTGAGAGATTTGCAAATCTATGTGCCTTCAATAAGCTGGTCATAGGCGGCACCATATTCCCACATAAACGCATACACAAAACAGCATGGACTTCACCGGATCACTCTACACAAAACCAAATCGACCATATTTGCATCAACAAAACGTTCAGGAGGACTATAGAGGACGTGAGAACCAAGAGAGGAGCTGATATAGCATCAGATCATCACTTACTGGTCGCCAAGATGAAATTGAAACTCAAGAAGCACTGCACAACGGGGCAGACAGTATCACAAAAGTTCAATACGGCCTTTCTCCAGGATACTAACAAACTCAACAAATTCAAGATAGACCTCAGCAACAAGTTCCAGGCCTTTCATGATCTACTCAATGGAGAAGGAACTACTGTGGAGAGCGACTGGAAGGGGATCAAAGAGGCAATCACTTCAACATGTCATGAGGTCCTGGGTCACAAGAAGCACCACCACAAGGAATGGATCACTGTTGGTACACTGGATAAGATTCAAGAAAGAAGGAACAAGAAGGCAGCAATCAATACCAGTCGAACAAGAGCAGAAAAAGCCAAGGCACAAGCTGAATACACGGAAATAAACAAACAAGTGAAGAGGAGTATCAGAACCGACAAACGTAACTATGTGGAAGATTTAGCAACGACGGCGGAAAAGGCTGCAAGAGAAGGAAACATGAGACAACTGTATGACACGACAAAGAAACTCTCTGGAAATCGCCGCAAACCAGAAAGACCCGTGAAAAGCAAGGAAGGCGAGGTAATCACCAACATTGAAGAGCAACAAAACAGGTGGGTAGAACACTTCAAAGAACTGTTGAATCGACCAGCTCCACTGAACCCACCCAACAACGAAGCAGCACCCACGGACCTTCCAATCAATGTTGGCCCACCAACAATTGAAGAAATCAGCATGGCCATCAGACAAATCAAGAGTGGCAAAGCAGCAGGACCGGACAACATCCCAGCGGAGGCACTAAAAGCAGACGTAGCGGCAACTGCACGGATACTCCACATTCTCTTCAATAAGATTTGGGATGGGGAACAAGTACCAACAGACTGGAAAGAAGGACTCCTGATCAAAATACCGAAGAAAGGCGATCTCAGCAAGTGTGATAACTACAGGGGCATCACTCTTCTCTCAATACCGGGAAAAGTCTTCAACAGAGTATTGTTAAACAGGATGAAGGACTGCGTAGACGCCCAACTTCGTGATCAACAGGCAGCATTCCGTAAGGATAGATCGTGTATAGACCGAATCGCAACTCTACGGATCATTGTGGAACAATCAATTGAATGGAATTCATCACTCTACATCAACTTCATTGACTACGAATAAGCATTTGATAGCGTGGATAGAACAACACTATGGAAACGTCTTCGACACTACGGCATGCCTCAGAAGATAGTCAATATCATACAGAATTCATATGATGGATTAAACTGCAAAATCGTGCATGGAGGACAGTTGACAAAGTCGTTCGAGGTAAAGACCGGTGTCAAGCAAGGTTGCATACTCTCACCGTTTCTCTTTCTCCTGATGATCGACTGGATCATGAAGACATCAACATCTGAAGGGAAACACGGGAGACAGTGGACATCTAAGATGCAGTTGGATGATCTAGACTTCGCAGACGATCTGGCCCTTCTATCCCAAACGCAACAACAGATGCAGGAGAAGACAAACAGTGTGGCAGCAGCCTCAGCAGCAATAGGTCTCAATATACACAAAGGGAAAAGCAGGATTCTCCGATACAACACAGAATGCACCAATCCAATCACAATTGACGGAGAAGATTTGGAAGATGTAAAAACCTTTACGTATTTGGGCAGCATCATTGATGAACAGGGTGGATCTGATGCAGATGTGAGGGCGCGGATCGGTAAAGCAAGAGCAGCATATTTACAATTGAGGAACATCTAGAACTCAAAGCAACTGTCAACTAACACCATGGTCAGGATTTTCAATACAAATGTCAAGACAGTTCTACTGTATGGGGCAGAAACCTGGAGAACTACAAAAGCCATCATCCAGAAAATACAGGTGTTTATCAACAATTGTCTACGCAAAATACTTCAGATCCGTTGGCCGGACACTATTAGCAACAACGTACTATGGGAGAGAACAAACCAGATCCCAGTGGAGGAAGAAATCAGGAAGAAGCGCTGGAAGTGGATAGGACACACATTGAGGAAAGCACCCAACTGCGTCACAAGACAAGCCCTCACATGGAATCCTGAAGGTCAAAGGAAAAGAGGAAGACCAAAGAACACATTACGCCGAGAAATGGAGATAGACATGAGAAAAATGAACAAGAATTGGATGGAACTAGAAAAGAAGGCCCAGGACAGAGTGGGTTGGAGAATGCTGGTCAGCGGCCTATGCTCCTTTGGGAGTAACAGGCGTAAGTAAGTAAGTAAGTAAGTAGGTAAGTAAGTTGAACTGGTAATAACCGTCTTTTTGTCCCTAGAGCTTGTTGACGACGCATATTTCGAAAGTTACACGAACTTTCACACGCTGGCATGCGGGCCACAGCAAAACTAATTACGGAACATTCTGTCTGGCCTAAAATTAACTCCGCATGAAGTGTCAACGTAGCAGAGTCTAACGACATACATTTGGCCCTCTTGGAAAGTTTCCATTACCTGACAGACGCTTCCAACATGTACATTTAGGTAATGTTGGTCCTCTTCCATTATCAAACTCCTTCACGCATATTTTTACGGCTGTGTACAGGTTTACTAGATCGACAATAGCATGTTCTATCGAAGATATATAAGCAGAAACAGTCTCATTAGTATTTCTTGACCGTTGGATAACTTTGGAGTCCCATCAATCATTACTGCAAACTGTGGTCCCCAGTTTCCGTCCTTCCCATTTCAAGAGTTTACCAGACTTCTGGGAGTGAGACACATTTAACAACAG